GTGGGGCTTGAACTCATGACTGAGATCAAGAGTCACACACTCTACTGACTGAGCCAGCCAGGAGGGCCCCCCCCCAACTTTTTTTTTTTTTTGGCTTTTTAAAATAACGTTAAACAGTAAAACAAAAATTCACAAGTTGCTTCCCTGTCCATCCCCTCCCTCCCTCCCACACCCGCAGTCTTGGCACCAGCCCCCTTTCCTTCACCCACTCACACAGACCCAGGGGATCCAACGGAGAAAGCCAAAGTGCTCCAAGTACACGGAGATGCGGAGAAGAGAGGAGGTAAGCTGTGTCCACATTCAAGGTCACACTGAGCAAGTCCGCACTCTCTAGGTTCTGGATGGTTTCCTCTCATGACACAAACTGAAAAAGGAAATTCCCCAGACCAGATGCTTCAAAGCTGAAGCCCCAGCACTGCTGAAGAATGCCAAAGAAAATGTGGTTGACATCAAAGTCACCCACACCCGTGCCCTCCTCATCCAGGTCCTGTCCAGTGTCAGAGTGAGTCTTCTTCTCGGGATCAGTGAGGAGAGCAAAAGCTTGCAAAAGCTTCTCTGACTTCCTTGAACTTTTCCTCCTCCTCCTTCTGAACTTCAGCACTGGCTCTCCCGTGCCCGTCTGTGTGGTGCTTCAAGGCTCGTTGCTGATAGTTTTCTTGATCTCCTCCTCAGAGGCATTCATGTCCACTCCCAGAAACTTGTAGTAAACTTTCCGTGCTTTTCTTCAGCACCAGCTGTGTGGTGTTTTAGGAGCTGTGCATGTTCTTATGTTTTCTCCGTCTGATACACTTTTCCACAGTCCTGTACTGCTTTTTCAAATTGTTCTGTATCCATGTAACACTGAGCTTTTCCCAAGGAGGCTTTTAATTAAGTGGAATCAAGCTTCACTGCATTTGTGCAATCTTCTATTGCACCATCTAGTCTCCTAAGCTTGGAATGATCTATACCCCAGTTACAGTAGAATTCAGCATTTGTTTTTATATTGTTGGGGGTCTGTCCCCAGGGCTTCTGTGTATAGTTCATACGCCAGCTTGTAATTTCCTTCTTCTTGCTCTGCTTTAAGTGCTTTGGCATTTCTGCAAGCAAGGGAGGCATTTTTGGGGTCAAGGGCCATCTCGAGAGCCTGTACAAAAAAAAAAACTGTACTACCTTCTCAATACGGTCTTCCTAATAACGGCAGAGACCTCATACATACAGAGCATGGCCATTGGTGGAATGTCACTGGCTGCAGACCGTGCTTCTGGATAATGACCCAGCATCACTAAATATTCTGCTTTGGTGATTTTGAAGCAATGGCAGGCAGGGCAATGCGGATACACCACATTTTCCCTAGCCATTCATCAGTTGATGGACATTAGGGTTGTTTTCACCGGGGCGGAGGCGGGGGGGCGCTAATATGAATGATATTGCTATGAACACTCCTGTACAAGTCTTTGTGTGGACATAGGTTTTTTTCCTTGGGTATGTTCCCAGGAATGGGGTTGCCGGGTCATGTGCTTAATCTATGTTTAACTTTCTGAGGAACCAAGCTGTTTTCCAAAGCAGCTACACCATTCTATATTTATATATCCCATCCACAGTGAATGAGTGTTCTGATTTCTCCACATTCTTGTCAATGTTTGTTATTATCTTTTTTTATTATTATTATTATACCCATCAGTGGGTGTGAAATGGTATCTCATGTGGTTTTTACTTGCAT